AAAAATTAGCATCATCTGACAGGAGTTAATTACTAACCAAGATGAAGATTTTTATCAATTTTACCATTTTTGCAATTAAACTTGAAACTATAATAGACATTGAAAATCTTTTACCACTGCGGATGATAAAGACAATGAAAACACAAACAACAACAAACAAAACACTATGTAGAAAACGAAAGACTGAGCAACACAAAACCAAATAACGGGTAGATCTCACCATAATAACATAATAAAATTACATTTAGAAGTGCAATGGAAAACTTATTGTCAGTAATTATTGATGACACAGAAATAACATAAGAATCTGGAATGATGCAAAATTTGAAGTCTTAGCAATGATAGAACACAACCAGATACATATTTATGCCTGAGTACTTAGTATGAATATTTGTGATGTCATCGATTTTTTAAATTTTCTTATTCTAAAATTTGGAAGAATTAAATTTTTTTAAAGTGCATACAAAATTCATGGGTAAATAAACTAAAAAAAAATGTTTATTTTTGTAAGAGTAGATATATATCCTAATGAGATAACAACCTAAACTATGTCAATAATAAAGAAACTCTTAAAACTTAAAACTATATTAGATAGAAAGCAACTGTAAACAGTAAGTAATTTTTTTGGGGACAGGGGTCCTGGAATATTTTTAAAAGATGTTAATACATTTCTTATCCTGATATACAGAAAGATATCAATATGACATATTTTTTCTAGATGAGTGAATCATTCTTCTTATATCTTCTATTCAAAGCATGTCACTATCATATCTGCAACCAAGCCATTGTGCAGACTGTTGTTGACATGATGACCCAATGTCATAGCTTAGGAGAAAAACTAGCAAGTACTTGTGCTGAAACCATTTTGTTTATGTTGCTTGAATCCTAATATCACATTTCACACAACTTCAGAAGTGAATTTAAGTTGACCCTACTTGGAAAGTAAAAGTCATTTCCTTAAGTTCACAGCATTAAATTATCAAATTTTTGCTGTAATGATAATTGTAAAATTCAACACCTATAATGATAATAATAATAATAAATACATATAATTATTAACTTCTTCTATTTTTTAAGGGACCATGAACCTTCTAGAAGTAATAATCTACAGCAATATCTTCATTAGAGTTATTTCAACGTTATGGAGAACATACCCATTGAAGACACCAACTTGTGATATATTATCAAAAATTTATTATGCATTAGGTGAGTACCAATTGTTATATTGATAAAAATATAGAATTACAGAAATTAAATTAGCATCATTTCCATATATATAATTTGTGTGATTGTGATATATATATATATATATATATATATATATATATATATATATATACTTTCGGATGTAGGAACATTGTACTATGTTGTGTTTTGTGTACTGTTCAGTGTTGTTTGTCTGTTTGTCTGTTGGTCTTTTTTCTTTTTTAGCCATGGCGTTGACAGTTTATTTTCAACTTATGAGTTTGAATGTCCCTTTGGTATCTTTCGCCTCTCCTTGATATGAAAAATAGAAATATGAAATTTACTCATCTGATATAAAAATAAGCTGGTTAAAGGCTTGACTCATTAGATCAGTACCAAGCACAAAGAGTACTCACAGTTACTAACAGCTAGTTCAAAGCTTAAATTATGACTAATGAATAAATCATGTTTTTCCAGGTCAAAATGTTAAGATCAAAACTCCTAGACAAAACACTAAATCATAATTATCGTCTATATGCACATCTACATAATATGTCCTAATTGTCTACAGTTTCATGAGAAGTTGCAATGACAAGAACAGGCCTAGGACTGACAGAAGCACAGACGGACAAGTCAATATAATGAAATCAATTGACAGTATTCCAAGATCGTATTACAATGTTAAATTGCTTACCTTTAACATGTTTTAGGATAAGTTTATTCAAAGAACCCATAAGTTTTCATGAATTGTATCTTAATTGATTGCTGCAAATTTAAGGAAAAACATAAATCTACCTCTGTTTTAAAGACCCAGTAATCATGTTATCAACATTCTGTAAAATAAAATGCTGTCTTTTAATGTTTTACAGGAATGTTGTGCATGGCAACTTTGAATTCAACTTATACATTAATGATTTATCTTGGACACATGGTATTACAAATTCTTGCTATGTGGAGTGTGAAGTACAAAAAGTTTATCAAGATTATTTTATTAAGAATGATGAAAGTGATTATGACATTTCTGCAAAGTTTAAGGCATCTTTGTCACTGTTTGGAAGAAATCTTTGGAAAATATTCCCAGATCAATGGTTTAAACATTACATGCATAGAAGATGACATACTGACAAATAAAGAGAACTGTTTGAACAAGGAAGATTTTGAATTGGTAAATGAATGTGGAACAGTACACTTTGAAGGTAAGCATAATTTTTTTCTGGGGTACTGCACTTGTAATTGAAAAAAAAACATTTAATAGTGAAATAGATATTTTTGTTTTAAGGTAGATTGGGTGTTTTCCACCATCTTGGATTGCAAAATAGCAGAAAACAATTGGTCAAGATCTTTAATGAAATGTGCACATTTTGAGAGTAGAATGTATCATTTGTCAGACTTTTCATTTATACATATATGAAGAAAATGTTGTGTTTTATCATATTTCTAAAATAGTTTTAAAAATACTGAATATTTTTGTTTCATTTTTTTTTCGACTTTGCCATTTAAGAGGAGATAACACAAATAACTTTAATTAACCGGATTTCCGAAGGAAAAATCGGTTATAGATTTGGGGATGTACGGCGGGCGGGCAGGGGGCTGCCAAACAGTGTCCGTTCATTAACTTGAAAACGCTTTGATTTTAGCTTTTATCGTTGTTGAGTTGTAGACCTTTAAGTAGCGAAAAGTGATACTTAGACCGTTGTCCGTGCCATCACTTGAAAACTCTTTGACGAAATCTTTTCAAATTTAGATATGTTGTTTCCCGTGACTAAATGAAAGACAAATTCCATTTTCATGCTTTTTTCATGATTTTAGCTTTTATCGTTGTTGAGTTGTTGACCTTTAAGTAGCGAAAAGTGATTCTTAGAGCATTGTCCGTGCAATAACTTGATAACACTTTGACGAAATCTTTTCAAATTTATATATGTTGTTTCCTGTGACGAAATGAAAGACAAGTTCGATTTTCAAGATTTTAGCTTTTATCGTTGTTGAGTTGTAACGACCTTTAAGTAGCGAAAAGTAATACTTAGACCGTTGTCTGTGCAATAACTTGGAAAACTCTTTGACGAAATCTTTTAAAATTTAGATATGTTGTTTCCTCTGACTAAATGAAGTTCAAGTTATATTTTCATGATTTTTTTCACGATTTTACCTTTTATCGTTGTTGAGTTGTTGACCTTTAAGTAGCAAAAAGTGATACTTCAAGCGTTGTCCGTGGAATAACTTGAAAACACTTTGAAGAAATCTTTTCAAATTTAGATACGTTGTTTCCTGTCACTAAATGAAGGTCTAAATCGGTTTTCACGATTTTAGCTTTTATCGTTGTTGAGTTGTTGACCTTTATGTAGGGAAAAATGATACTTAGATTGATTTTGGCCTTTCCATTTCTGAACCCTACAAAAATTCATTTATTTTTTTTACTAGATCCTGTTTGGGGGTCCAGATTTGCAAATATCATTTTCAGGCAGGAAAATCCGGTTTGCTATCACTCTGACAGCCTCTTGTTAAGGAATGTGTTATAAATTTACATATTTTGTTTTGTAAAGAATAAGTCTCTTGACCCCAATTTTTTTTTTATTTTTCTGAATGCACATTATAAGAGCTAACTTGTCGTATTTTATCTTAAAATTCTGTCATTAAGTTTTCATTCTATTATACAAAATTGTGTTTTGAATGTATAATCTATACAAATTCTGACAATTTTGCACAACCAGTAGCTTTAAAAAAAAGCCATGTGTTTCATACATTTTTGGAAAAGCATGATAACGACTACATTTTGGCCAATTATTAAAAAAATCTAAATATTTTAATTTAGACCCAAACTGCCTTAAGGACAAAATGTTTTTTTTACCTCAAATAAATAGATATCTTTAAATTTTTCACAGCTGCAATGATGGTTGAGGAACATAGAAAAAGTCTTTCTGTCCATCTATCTGTGACACTTTGTAAATACTCCTCATATAATACCTATTGCCAGAGAGCTAGCATACTAGGTAGGATTGTTAATTATTATGTATAGTTAGTCTAATTCATATTTACTCAGTCAGCCTGTTTTGATATAAAATATGCATACACACCTTATTCTCAATTCTTTTGACAGCTTCTTCATTTGTACAACTTCATGTATCAGACTTATCATGAATGATTTCAGACAAATTTTCAGCAACTTTTTATCATTCATTTACCACTCCCCTTTTTTTTCCTTATTCACTTCAGCCTTGGCTTTTTTGTCTTTATTTGAGAAAAAAAGTATGAATAACAAAGTTTCTCTTAAAATCACACAAAATTCACAAACAGAATTTTTACAGGACATTATATAATTATGATTTTTTTTTATTAAACTTGGTTTTTCTTCTTTTTTTGGAAATGATAGATACAATACAATAATATTAAAAAAAAAAGATTGGTCCACTTAACATCTGACTTCAATAGAAAAATTTATTTATTTTTTGTATCAAAATTTTAAAATTCAACACACATGCAGCTGAACCATTGTATAAAAAAAATTTGTATATTGCAGGTAATAAGTAAACGTGCTTATTTAAACAGTCATATTTCGATCTTCTCTGCGTTTTTCCAATTAGATTAAGTCAATCATGCGATCATAATTATTTTCAACTCTCTCATGGCTTACACATGTCAATGAATGACAAAAAAAGTAAATATCTGATTTAAAAATATTAGCAAGAGGCATGTTTTCAGCTACTTTTTTATAAACAAAATTTGCGATGTTAGTACGGATAAAAACAACATTTTTTTTAAAGTTTTGACTACTGTGTATGCTTGTATTTTTTTTATTATTAAATACTAGTTTACTCAGGAATGCAAGAAGATACATCAGATGGAACTATTTTGATAAGACCCAAGTTGCTGATAGTTTCCCTGGGTTTACCAGCTAAAGCAATAGTTTCAAATATGAAGCAGTTCAATGGGAAATCAAGTTGCAGTTTATGCCTTGACAAAGGAACACAACGTCCTGATCATCCTATGCTGAGATTTAACCTATTTAATACAGATTCAGGTATTAGAACACACCAGTCCATGGTGAATGATGCAATGTTGCTTGGTGTAACCAAAGCTCGAATGAAATTATGGAGTGATGCCAAAAAAAAAGACAGACGTTTTTTCGTTGGAAACCAGGTATTTATCATGTTTATTTACAATATATATATATTTATATATATATATTTATATATATATTAACCCTTATAATTTTATCGTCTGTCCTTCTTATGGTTTTTCTACTGCAATACCTAATACACAGACATGAAGAGATTAGCAGGAATTACAAAACATTCTTTTTTCATTAATATGCAAAAAGATGTGTTCTATTTTTTTCGTGTCACAATTAGGAAAGCAAGAATATTTTACGTACGTCATAGTTGAATTCTGACCCATGAAAAACTGATATGAAAGGAACCACACAATGATTAATAAAAACAAAATCAACTGGCCAGGAAAAGGATAAATCGTTTAAGAATTGAAGAAATGATATTATGAATTGGAGAAATTTTGTTTTTATCTGTTTAAATTGTTCTTTCAGATTACCTTACTTGACAAAAGATTTCTAAAGATAAAAATACCTGACTTTGTGTCAATAGCAGATCCTACAAACTGGAAAGGTATAGACTTAATTGCTCTGTAAATAAATATTTGAAAACGACTCAAGTATTTTTTATCATTGCATCTGTGGAATCATAATATTAGAGTCTAGATAACAGTACAATACATTACCTTCTCAAAAATACACTTCTTCACCAGATGCTTTTTGCTATTTAATACTATAGTTAGATTGAACTAGATTCACGTTAATAAAATCTGTTGGTGAGAAATAAATGACAAAAGCAAGAGTCAAACAATATAAATGTAAGAAGATGTGGTATGATGCCAATGAGAAAATTCTCCACCAGTGACCAAAATGACGTAGGAACCTGTACGAAATGTGACGCCTGTAAATGACACGGAAACCAGGCATAGAAATCATACTTTATCCTGGCGTCATTGCAGTGCTTAAGGAATGCATGTCCAGGCGTCAACCAGGCTTAAACCAGGCGGAAACCAAGCGTAACTGAGGCGGAAACCAGGCGTAAAAATTAGTCTTAATATGCAAATGAGTACGCCTGGTCAATAAATAAACCAGGCGTAATATCCTTACATAATACTACACTGAATTTAAATCAGTGTATTTAACCCTAGCTGTGTACTTTGTGTATTTGATACAAACTTGTACTGTTGCTTAAATTTCTCATTGTTTGACATAAAACTTGAAATATTAACCATTGAAGAAGCTATATAAATAAATACATATTAGACAGACACTGGCTCAAATAAGTTTAAGTTTAGATAAGAATTATGACAATTAATTTTTCTTGAATTAAAACTAGCATTTTGACAAAGTTGTTTTGAAAATTAATGTCATTTGAACTAAAAATCCAATGATAATACTACAATTTAACCTAATGTGAAAGATTTAAATGTTATTTTCCAAGGATGAAGGTTTCCAGAATTCGAAAGTACTGTTCAAAAATAAAAACTTATTAACTTAGTTACTCACATAATTATTATTTACCATGTATGCTACTTTCCTTTCATTTCACAATTTTCATTTATCAATTTGATTTCATAATTCCAATTTCAAATTCTTCCAAAAAACAAAAACAAGCCCTGAATATACCATGCTGCCATATGTCCAACTCTTGCAAACTAATACCAGAGAGCCAAATTTAAAAAAATATTTCCCATGATCCTTTAAACAAAGCATTATGGGTATTATAATTCACGCCCTATCAATAGTTTTACGCCCGTAGGAAAATTTACACCTTGCCTGTCTTAATTTACGCCTGGTTTACCACTTTTTTCTACGCCTGTGATCTGGACATGTAACCGCTTATGCCTGGTTTACGCCAGATTTCCAGATCGCCTTATTATACGGGAGTTAACAACCATAAGTCACCGTTCGGCCTTCAACAATCACAAAACAAACATACATTTAAGAATTGACTGCTTCTTATTATAATTTTATAGGGTTGTAAAAGTGTTGGTCGTGAGCACATTTTTAATATAAACTGCTTCCGCACTTCATACAATGTCTGCTTCGGTCAATGTTTTTACACCCCAATAAAATTATAAAAAGAAGCATTCAATTCTTAAATGTATGTGTGTTTCTAATATAAAGTACTTGCCTTCTCTTTCTTTTACATCTGCTAAATTTCTGATGAAAACTGTTCTTGTGATTGAATTAAGAAATAATTCATGGAAGCCACAGATTTGTTGGAAATTTATACATGGCCTGGGCCATGATATTCAAATTTTATCCTGAGCGTTAGTGAGGGATAAAATTAACGAATATCACGCCCCAAGTCATGTGTAAATTTACAACAAATCTACGGCTTCCATGAATTATTTAGATTCTAATAGGACAAATATGGTCATTAAAAAAACTGAAGGAAGGGTGGGTATGCAGTGTGTGTGGCTGTTCTATTTTACCCCCTGTTAGATAAATCTTAAATTCTAATAAATCTGTAGCTTGCATGAATTATTTCTTATATAACCGCTAGAAAAAATGTGTATAATTCTTTAAACACTCCACGCCAATATTTGCCATTTTAAATCTACATTTTTTTCTCGTAAGCTACCGTTAAATCCACTTTTGAAATTTTGTAACTAAGGAGCCGCCATGTTGACTTGCTGAAATCAGTAAATGTGCGAATAATGCAATAGAATATAAAATAAAACAACACCTACCTTAAAAAACTCCATTTTAATGCAATATTATCCGAATTTGGAGGGTTAAAGTAACGGAAAAACCTTCAGCTTTGGCGTTTTCATTCGCATAACGTCAGGTTTTGAAATGACTTTAATGCGCCTAAAACATTAATGGAATTTCGCGGGATTTAATTTTATTTTGATTTTGTACATTTTCTTGAGCTCTAATGCATTAATTCTTTTTCTTATGCCTCGGAATAAGAATAAAGGTTCTATAGTTTTTTTCAATTGCAATTTTTAACACAGCGAAATTGGCATAGCGTTTGCAAATAGGTTACGATACATGTGGATTTACTTAGGAGTAATATTGTAACAGCCATTATTTTGAACACCTCGTAGTCTGCGCTTAGTATAGACATATCGATAATTTTATCACGGTGTTGTTTACAAAACGAAAGAATCATGTCATATTAGAATGCGTAATATTTTCTGTTTTTACTCTAAAGGGTTGTTTATTTTAATAGATGTGCACAGGACTTACAAATTTTTAATTGTATAATAGGTTAAAACTGTTTAAATTTTTATTAAAACTGCTTCTAAAACAAGCTATATATTTGAGTTAGTAAGAAAGTGTTATCATTCTGAATATACATTTAATTCTTTCACTGGGCATTAAGCCACCATCAATCACATTAGATGCATAAATTTATGCTTTCAGATGTTGCATCAAAATTACCTGTGAAAGAGAAGTCTAAAATAGTAACATTTTCTGCAGTTAGTCTTGTTGAAGGTATTATGTCAGAAGTACCTATGTTTACTGTAATGGATGAAACTGAAAAAGAGACTAAATTAAAAAAAGTCAATGATGATGAAAAACCTGATATCCATGAAGAAATTTCTGTCAACAGCAGCTCTTTTTCCTCTGAAGCCAATGAAATGAATGATTCTCTGCCTTTGTTAATCAATTGCTTTGTAGATTCTTTGTCAATCAATGACTCTGTAGAGCCTTTGTCAGTCAACGATTTTGTAGATCCTTTGTTAATCAATGACTCAGTAGAGCATTTGTCAATCAATGACTCAGTAGAGCCTTTGCCAATCATTGACTCAGTAGTTTCTTTGTCAAATTATGAATCAGTAGAGCCTTTGTCAATCAATGACTTTGTAGAGCCTTTGTTAATCGACGACTTTGAAGAAAATCAAGACGGTGGTTTTACTACAAATGGTAATATTTTACAGTTATGTACCGAAACATCTATCCGCAGGGTGTTAGAGGTAGATTCTAATGTTTCACAAATTGGTCATTGCACAGGTCAGTCTGATAAGAATTCTATCAGAGACAACAAGGTATGGTCGAATCCTGATTATCACATAATGCCAGTTACAAAGAATGGTGACGTATACAGTTCAGATAAATTATCACAAGGCTATGACAGTAACAAGAGTGAAAAGAGCAACATATCAGCTATTAGTTCCGGATGCTGTAGTACAAACAGTTATCAACAGGGTGTACAGATTTGTCGCTGTGGATTTACTGTTTCAGCACATAAATATAGCACAGAGCTAAGTAAGCATCCAAAAAGTTCATCATTTTCAGATGATTTTTTACCCTTTCACATACATTTTGAAGAGTCTATGTTTTCAAGCAAGGGTGTGATAGATCTACAGAAAGAGCAAGCAAACAAATCAATAAATATAAAATATTCTGATGGAGAAGAATATTTAAAGAAATGTAGAAAACATCATGAAATTGCTAAGATAGTAAAAACCACTTTGATTGAATTAGTGAGGAAAAGGGTAACTAAAATAAATCCGGCATTACAATGCAATAGAATGAATAAAAAGCGAAGGATATCAAGAAGAAGACTTCGACGCATTATTTTTTCTAATCGAATTAAATCACCAAGGTCTCTTCAAATACAAGTAAGACCTGTTCAAAATTCACCTCAGCTAAGAACAACCTCTGATGAAGTAAACACTAGTCATTCAAATCAAAATGGAACAACGTTGAGTCTACAACAACAAAATTCAGTTCAAAGTGTATTATCAGTACACAATATTTCTACTTATATCAGACCTGATGGGTCATCTGATTTGGTCTCTGAGTTATCATTTACAACGCCTTCTGTGGCATCTCCAAGTTCTTGGACTAACTACTTCAATAGGTTGTCGATGGGATATGAGTACAGTCTTGAGGAAAAGATGCAGTACGAATGGCTGAGAGTACAATCTTTCCAGGATTTTCCAGCTACCTGCCATACTAGTCCCTTACGTTTAGCTAGAGCTGGTTTCTTCAGTACTGGTATTAATGATGAGGTTAAATGCTTCAGCTGTGGGGTTAAATACAAGAACTGGAAGCAAAGGGATAATCCTATTGAAGTTCATCATAGAATATCATTAGATTGTCGGTAAATATTTGCTGCATTCTTGTTACAGTTATTGAATTGTTATCATTATAATTTTTACTAAATAGGATGACAACGTGGTATGAAATATTTTTTAACTATAGACATGATAGACAACATGTGTTTTATACTTGCATATTTTTTAAGTCTGTGATCAAATTGAGCAAGGTATACATAGCGATCCTACATTCTGTTGGCATAGTCAATATTTAGATTAAAAACACTGATCAATACCTTTGTCAGGTCATGAAGATTTAAAGCTTTTTCAAGATTAAAGGATCAGAGTAAAATGATTGAAAATGTTTTGTTTTTTATATTTTCTGTATTTTACTCAGAATGAACTTTTTTTTCATCAGAAATTTAAAAGTAAGTTCAATATTTTCAGACATTAATAAATATTGTCAAACCTGCATGGAATTGTATGAAACTTGCATGGATAGATGCTTCTTTATGATCAAAAGGACAGTATCCACACCTGATTTGGGCATTTTGTTTTTTCCTCATTTTCCATATTTCTTTAAGTGCGTTTTGCAGTTAACTTTAATTAAGATACAGTCAGGGGTTAATTTATTTAGGCATTACTATAACTTTGTTAAACATTCATTGAATGTTTTGAAACTTGGACAGAAGCGGATCTGTCTGATCAACAAAAAGCATCTGAAGAAATGATTTTAACTTGTTTTTATTGGCAGTCAGCATAACACTTTTAAATATACACTTGCATCAGCTAGACAATGCATTCTATAGAACCCTTTATGATTTTGTTGTGTAATTTTTAACTTTAGTTTAAATTTTGCTTATTGATCAATGTTAACAGTTTCATAATTTCATCACAAACTTGGTTATTTCAATTGAAATGTCAAATATATTTGGTCTGTTGAATAATTGTATGGGGTACATGTCTGTCTGAGAGGATTAGCTTAACCTCAACCTCAATTCTATTGTTCATTGATCAACATAACTTCTACATTAATGACAGGTTCTTGAGTACTCTAAATGATAGGTTAACTGTATTTGCTGTAAGGCTATCTGGCAGGGCTTACTTTTACCTTGACCTCATTTTCCTTTACCACCTCTGGGCACTCTGGCTTCCTCCATCAATAAAAACTGACTGCCATGAAATAGCACAAAAGTGTTGAAAGTGGCGTTAAACACCAATCAATCAATTATATATCAGTGATAATGGTAAGTTTTTGTGATCCAAGTAGTATCAGACCTTGATCTTTAAGACTTTCAATATAAAATTGAGTTATAATTAATGGAACTGCAACATTTATTTCTTAGTGATCTCTTGTTTTCTCACCTATTGCAGAGCTTAGTTAGGCAATATGATAATGAATTGGTCCTTATGTTGATATAGCTTTTTTGAGTCCCTAGCTTTGATTAGCAACATATTGTATTTGAATAAAACAATTTTATTTTTCATAGGATGGTAAATGGTAGAGAAACAACGAATATACCAATTATTTCAGAAATAAACGGAGCAGCTGCAGATAATCCTCAGCAAGAGTCCAGCCAAAGTCTATTGACCGATGGTATGTAATTGAAAAAGTAACTAAGTAATATTCAAATAAGAAAAAAATATCTGTTAATCAGTTTTAATGACATTTATGTTTTGAAAGATATTTTAAAAGTTTTTTTATAAATAAAAAAAGAAAGTTATATTTTCAGACATGATTATAACAGAATAGATTGAATTCCATTTTAGCTTTTTTCACTATTCCAGACTATTTATCTCTCAGATAACAAATATTGTGCAAAGTTTGGTCATCTCAAAGCACAGTCCATGAGCCATAGGAATTTATAATCTTTTATTTTTGCTTAATAGATAGTACCAACTATTTGGTAGTATTATGTTTTTTGTGGTTATTTAATGTTTATGTTATCAAATAATGAACAAGTAATGAAAACATTCAGTTTTAGCTAAGACTAAAGAAAGATTTAAGTCTTCGGTTGAAGTTAAATGTTTTACTATTTTATTACTTGCAGTTTAACCCATTGCTACTTTGATTATTTCTACGAATAAAACTGACTTCCAGGATATTATACAGATGTGAACGATGTTGGATACAATCCTATAAAAACACATACAACTTTTATAGCTCAAACAGTATATGTATTTTTAAAATTACTCAATTTTCATTTTTACTTTGATTTTAGATTTCCTGCCATCAACAATACATCAAAATGAAGATCTAAGTATTCAGACAACTGAAGGTGCCCAAAACAGATCATTGAAAAGAGAAGACATACAAAGCTCCAATGTTGCAGACACAAATACTCAGTTAATAAATCAAACACTGCAACCTCAGGTAGTACAAGATGCAATGAGACAACCAGTAGTTGACAGAGACCATTCTGTATTAGATGGAGAACAGAACAGAACTGAAGATAAAAGCAAGGCAGAGGATTTGAGTATCAGTTTAGAAACACCAAAACATCAAGCTTATGCTCAGCTGAATGACAGGGTCAGTACATTTCAAGGTTGGCCTGGATATTTAGAACAGGCACCAAGAGATATGGCACTTGCAGGATTTTTTTATGAAGGATACAATGATTATTGTCGATGTTTCTTCTGTGGTGGAGGATTAAGGAACTGGGAAGCTGGAGATGATCCTTGGGTAGAACATGCAAGATTTGTTAAACAAAACAGAGGTCACAGATTAGTTGAAATAATTACACAGAGACAGGCCGAAATGGTAAATACAATAAGTTGACTCTAACCATGAAAGGCGATACTTTTATCCCACATTGAGCATGTTGAAATATGCATCGTGTTTTTTTTAATTTGACCAATATCTTCAATCAGTGGATTTTGACACTTCAGAGTTAAAAAATACATGAAAAATGCATATTAGATAAACATTATTTTTACAAGGATTCTCCACTTGTATGATAGTTTAACAAAGCAAGGTTAAACTGTCTTTATTTAAAACAATTCTAAAGCAGTTTCATCTGCAGCTTATGGTAATGGAGGTATAAGTTGTATAAAATTGAACAAAATGGTGTGTGTCCAAGTTGCTTTCATTGAGGGCAGATGGTTTGCTGGTGGGACAGTGGGTAATTATATTCCATTTTTCCTACAGTTTCATCCCTGAGATCTGAAACGTTACATATATATTGCACTTATGATAAAGTTGTGTATTTGTTATTTTATCTAAATGTTTAAGGAATTTTACTCCATTTTCCCAGACCTGGGAGCTTAGTCATTTTCAGCAAAATTTACATAAAATTGGTACCAGTTTTGTGTAATCAACTCCTCTCAAAGTTTTCGACCCAGATCCCTTGACATTTTATTAATTGATTGAACACATGTTTTGTTGTGCATTTTACTATTATGAAATTGCATGATGAGTTGTTTTCCCCATTAATTGCAGACTTGGGTTTCAGTGTTTTTTCATCAAAATTAAAAAAAACAGTACCTATTTGGTGTAATCAATTCCTCTCTCAGTTTTCAACCATGAACTTAAACCTTCACACAAATACTGAACAAGTATTGAAGTTGTGGACCTGCTTCTATGGAGTTATTTGAGCGTTTATTCATGTAAAATTTATGTTCATTTAATTGTGTATAACAGAATGGTTGCAAATATACGATATTATTTTAGTTGTGCATTTCGTGCATTTCTATTATAGAATCATTTGATCAAGTAAGACGGGCTGGTTCATAGCCTTAAAACAAAATTGATTACTATATGTTTTTAACAAATTGAATGAAAAAAATAGCTGAACAAATATCAATGTGACTTCATTTTCAGTAACTGAGTTCATAAAGGAAAAAAAAAGAAAAGAAAAATGATATGATAGATTTGCATTGTTCACTGTAAGTGTTAAAAGTTTCTAAAACATTTAAAAAAATGTTTTAATCTGGCAAAATATCTTATAAATTATTTTATATGTCATAAATTAATTTATAATAAAATTATCCGTTTATAAATTTTCAAATAATAAAGAAACTAGGGATTCAACTCCCTCAGGCAAATTGACCTTAGATGAATTTGGCTATTTGTTTTAGGTATTTTTGTCATATAGCTCTTCAACTGTTTCGGTACTTGTAAATCCCTCGGATTTCAAATGTTTGGCTTTGAGCATTCCTGATGAAGGTAAATCCAGAAAAGCGCTTCGGACGCATGAAATTATTAAACGTGTTGTTTTCAATTTTTTTTATCTTCTTTTACATTTTAAAGTACTAAGTAATGAACTCTAAATTATGCATAATTTTTGTTGGAACAACATTTATTTTTTGTAGCAATGTAGCAAAGCTAATTTTTGATCCAACCCTTGATCTAGAAAATTGTTTTGTCTAAGTTTTCAACATAAACAAAGGCGCTTTTTAATCACATAAACATTTGGATTGTAACTTGTGGTCATGGTTTTCCTTAAGCTTTTAAGTCTAAGAAATGCACACAATCGTTGTGCATTGAAGACATCAGCCCACAAAGGCTGACTTTAGAGCTTATCGTGTACTCTCATAACACGATTTTCTTTGCCTCACATTGGGGCTTTTGAAATATATCCATTAAGAATCAGATTGTGGCCTTTATATATGTATGATCAATTTGAAATTGATGGTCATATTTTAGCAAAAATGAACATTGTCCTTTAAAGTCAATTTTCGATAATTACAAGTTAAATGTTTTTCTTTTTGTATTAAAATCATGATTTGTCAATATTATCATGTCATTACCTAACAACCTGATGCTAACATTATATGACATAAGTAGGTTGTTGGAAGCATCATTTTGGAAAATAAATTACTTCCACCATTGTAATTTTAAAAATTGTAAATTTGGGTCTAACAAATTTATAACAGCAAAGAAAGTTTTGAACCATTTATTTTATGATGAATATGATAACTGGATGAAATAAGTTAAGATTAACCTTTAAAAAAGAGACATGGCCTAACCTCTCCATTTGGCATGTAACAATCCATTCAAAAACAGGGTTTATATCACTCTGATTAATCATTTTCACACACTTAGGGAAAACACTACAAAAATACATCTGCTGGTTATTATCTCCCCTGAAACTAGTGGATGTATCGTTCATGATACAGTCTAAATGTTGTCATGTGAATACAAATTTTAATCATAATTGACTAAAAGAATATAAAATCTTACTAGCAGGTTCAATAGTGATATGATAAAAAATTATGATTGTCTATTTCAGCAAGCATCTAATAACTCATCAGATATTGCTGAGAATCAAACAGAAGAGTCAAATCAAAGTGAAAATGAAGATAGAACCCAAATAAACTCACAAGAAACATCAGCAACACCAATGATCACTCAATTAGGTAGATTGTAATACTGTAAACCCTTTTTGTTGTAGAAAATGAACGACCAATGTCATGGGTAGGTTCTACAAATTAAATTAGCAAGAACAAAGAATGGGCTATTTAGAATGCCACTGTAAAAACGGGTTTGTTTGGTAGGTGTTGAATAGGGACAGACATTTTGCCTTCCAACAGGCCACCTACAGACCACTTAAAGTGTTATTATTTTGACATGGGGTCAGCACATTGAAATTCCGTTACACGTTGCAGCGTATTTAACATCAGTTTTCCGACGGGAGCTGGTTGCATATTTATAAATATTGATAAACAAACGGTTAGAAAGACAGAAAGTGAAGAAGTTCACATATGAAGTTAATTCATAATACAAATGAAATGACGAGCGATTTCACCATTACAGCAATGGGATGTATTTGATATCACAGAGGGATGAAGTGCATTGTGTTACAAAATAATATTCTCTGGAATAAATTACACATGTGTTTCTGCACAGTAGTTTATTTGTTGATGATATTGAGCATGTTTTAATTCTTGCCATTTTCCTTCCAGATGTGTTCTTTTTACAATTAGCATCCTAAAACTTAATAGTCTCGAGAGGTGAAATATCGTAATACACTTGTTGAAGTGGTTGAATCTATAAGTCATGATATTATATTGACGTAAACAATGTTGGATAAATTCTTATAAAAATATATACAACTTGTAAAGCCCAGGCAAGTATAGTTTTGTTAAAAATTACTGAATTTTCATTCTTACTTTGATGTAGATTTCCTGCGATCAACAATACACCAAAATGAAGATCTAAGTATTCAGACAACTGAAGGTGCCCAAAACAGATCACTGACAAGAGGAGACATACAAAGCTCCAATGTTGCAGACACAAATTCTCAGTTAATAAATCAAACACTGCAACCTCATGTAGTACAAGATGCAATGAGACAACCAGTAGTTGACAGAGACCATTCTGTATTAGATGGAGAACAGAACAGAACTGAAGATAAAAGCAAGGCAGAGGATTTGAGTATCAGTTTAGAAACACCAAAACACCAAGCTTATGCTCAGCTGAATGACAGGGTCAGTACATTTCAAGGTTGGCCTGGATATTTAGAACAGGCACCAAGAGATATGGCACTTGCAGGATTTTTTTATGAAGGATACAATGATTATTGTCGATGTTTCTTCTGTGGTGGAGGATTAAGAAACTGGGAAGCTGGAGATGATCCTTGGGTAGAACATGCAAGATGGTTTTCAAAATGTGCATTTGTTAGACAAAACAGAGGTCACAGATTTGTTGAAATAATTACAAACAGACAGGCTGAAATGGTAAATACAATAAGTTGACTCTAATCATCAAAGGCTATACTTTTATCCCCCATTGAGCCTGTTGACATATGTTTCATGTTTTTTTGATTTAATCAATATTTTGAATTAAAGGATTTTGACACATCAGAGTTAAAAAACACATGAAAAATGCATATTAAACAGATATGATTTTTTACAAGGATTCTCCACTTGTATGAGAGTTTTAATAAAGCAAGGTTAAACTGTCTTTATTTAAAACAATTCTAAAGCAGTTTCATCTGCAGCTTATGGTAATGAAGGTATTAGTTGTATAAAATTCAATACAAGGTGTATGTCCAAATTGCTATTATTGATAGCAGATTGTTTGGTGGCGGGACAGTGGGTACTTATATTCCATTTTTGTCGAGCCTACGACTTTTGTCGCAGAAAGCTCGACATAGGGATAGTGATCCGGCGGCAGCGGCGGCGGCGGCGTTAGCTAACTTCTTAAAAGCTTTATATTTTAGAAGGTGGAAAGTCTGGATGCTTCATACTTTGTATTTGGATGCCTCATGTTACGAAGTTTCCGTCAGTCACATGTCCAATGTCCTTGACCTCATTTTCATGGTTCAGTGACTACTTGAAAAAAAAGTTAAGATTTTTTGTAATGTTAAATTCTCTTTTATTGTAAGTAATAGGATAACTATATTTGGTATGTACGTACCTTGCAAGGTCCTCATGCCCGTCAGACAGTTTTCACTTGACCTCGACCTCATTTCATGGATCAGTGAACAAGGTTATTTTGGTGGTCAAGTCCATATCTCAGATACTATAAGCAATAGGTCTAGTATATTCGGTGTATGGAAGGACTGTAAGGTGTACATGTCCAACTGGCAGGTGTCATCTGACCTTGACCTCATTTTCATGGTTCAGTGGTTATAGTTAAGTTTTTGTGTTTTGGTCTGTTTTTCTTATACTGTATGCAATAGGTCTACTATATTTGGTGTATGGAAGGACTGTAAGGTGTACATGTCCAACTGGCAGGTGTCATCTGACCTTGACCTCATTTTCATGGTTCAGTGGTTATAGTTAAGTTTGTGTGTTTTGGTCTGTTTTTCTTATACTGTTTGCAATAGGTCTACTATATTTGGTGTATGGAAGGACTGTAAGGTGTACATGTCTAGCTGGCAGGTGTCATCTGACCTTGACCTCATTTTCATGATTCAGTGGTCAAAGTTAAGTTTTTGAGTTTTGGTCTTTTTTCCTAATACTGTATGCAATAGGTCTACTATATTTGGTGTATGGAATGATTGTAAGGTGTACATGTCTAGCTGGCAGGTGTCATCTGACTTTGACCTCATTTTCATGGTTCAGTGGTTATAGTTAAGTTTTTGTGTTTTGGTCTGTTTTTCTTATACTGTATGCAATAGGTCTACTATATTTGGTGTATGGAAGGACTGTAAGGTGTACATGTCCAACTGGCAGGTGTCATCTGACCTTGACCTCATTTTCATGGTTCAGTGGTTATAGTTAAGTTTTTGTGTTTTGGTCTGTTTTTCTTATACTGTATGCAATAGGTCTACTATATTTGGTGTATGGAAGGACTGTAAGGTGTACATGTCTAGCTGGCAGGTGTCATCTGACCTTGACCTCATTTTCATGGTTCAGTGGTCAAAGTTAAGTTTTTGAGTTTTGGTCTTTTTTCCTAATACTGTATGCAATAGGTCTACTATATTTGGTGTATGGAATGATTGTAAGGTGTACATGTCTAGCTGGCAGGTGTCATCTGACTTTGACCTCATTTTCATGGTTCAGTGGTCAAAGTTAAGTTTTTGAGTTTTGGTCTTTTTTTCTAATACTATATGCAATAGTTCAACTTTATTTGGTGTATGGAAATATTTTATAATCTATTTGTCAGTCACGCAGGTTTTATTTGACCTTGACCTTTTTTAAGGTACATTGCTCAGTGTTAAGTTTTTGTGTTTTGGTCTGTTTTTCTTAAACTATAAGCAATAGGTCAACTATATTTGTTGTATGGAAGAATTGTTAGCTGTACATGCCTGCCTAGCATGGTTCATCTGACCTTGACCTCATTTTCATGGTTCATTGCATTGGTCAATGTTTAGTTTACTTGGTTAATGTTAAGTTTATGTGACAGTTGTAATAAAGCTTTATATTTAGGACTATCCACATAATATCAATGGTTAGTAAAGAAGGCGAGACATTTCAGCGTGTGCACTCTTGTTCCTACAGTTTTCATCCTTGATTCGATCATGAAACGTTACGCAGATATTGCACTGATGAAGTTGTGTACCTTTTATTATACCTAATTGTTTGGGGAATTGTACTCCATTTTCCCAGATTTGGGTGTTTTTTTTTTACAAATTTACCAAACATTGGTATCAGTTTTGTGTAATGATCTCCTCCCATAGTTTTCGACTCATATTCCTTGACATTTTATTGATTGATTGCACACATTTTTTGTTGTGCATTTTACTTTTATGAAATTGCATGATGAGTTTTTTCCCTAAATTCCAGACTTGGGAATTCAGTCTTCTTCGGCAAAATTTAAAACAAAAGTACCTCTTTGGTGTATTCAATTCCTCCCTCAGTTTCCAACCCTGAACATTGAATCTTCACACAAATATTGCACAAGGTTTGAAGCTGTGTAGCTAATATGGAATTGTTTGAGAGTTTATTTAGTTTTTTTTCAGAATGTGAAAACATAGTTATGTTTCTGTAAAGTTTAAAAAAAAATGGTACCAATTGTGTATAACAGAATGATTGCAAATATATTATCTATTATAGAATTATTTGATCAAGTAGGATGGGCTGGTTCATAGCCTTTAACAGTACTTTGATTATTACATGTTTTTAACAAAATGACTGAAAGAAAAATATCTGAACAAATATCAATGTGACATCATTTTCAGTAAATGAATTCATAAAGGAAACTAAACAAAAGATAAAAGATATGATTGATTTGCATTGTTCACTGTTAGGGTTAACGGTTTCTGTAACATTTAAAAAAATGTTATAATCGGACCAAAATGTATTTCAATTTATTTAATATCCCCTTAATAATGCATAATATGTGTTGGAACAACATTTATTTTTGTAGCAAAACTTCTTTTTTATTCAACCACGTATCTAAAAAAATTGTTTTGTCTAAGTTTTCAACATGAACCAAACCGCTTTTAGTCACGTAAACATTTGGATTGTAATTTGTGGTCATGGTTTTCCTGAAGCTTTAGGTCTGAGAAATGCAGGCAATCTTTGTGGTTAGAAGAAAGGCTGACTTTAGAGCTTAGCGTGTACTGTTATAAAGCGAATTCCTTTGCCTAGCATAAGGGCTTTTGAAAAATATTTATTAAGAATCAGATTGTGGCCTATTTTATATGTATGATCAAGTTGAAGTTTATGGTCATATTTTAGCAAAAACGAACCTTGTCCTTTAAAAGCAACTTTGGATAGTTTACAAGTTATCTGTTTTTCTTTTTTAATTAAAACCATGATTTTTCAACATAATCATATCATTACATAACAACCTGATGCTAACATTATATGACATTAGTAGGTTGTAGGAAGCATCATTTTGAAAAATTATTTACTTCCACTATTGTAATTTAAAATAAAATTAAATTTGGGTCTGACAAAGTTGTAACAGCAAAAAAAGTGTTCAACCATTTATTTTTATGATGAATATGATAACTGAATGAAACAAGTTAAAATTAACCGTTAGAAAAGAGAGACGACCTAACATCTCCATTTGGCATGGGACACTCCATTCAAAAACATGGTTTATTTCACTCTGATTAATCATGTTCACACACTTAGGGAAAACACTACAAAAATACATCTGCTGGTTATTATCTCCCCTGAAACTGGTGGATGTATCGTTCATGATACAGTCTAAATGTTGTCATTTGAATACAAATTATAATCATAATTGTCTAACAGAATATAAAGTCTTACTAGCAGGTTCAATATTGATATGATAAAAAAATTATGATTGTCTATTTCAGCAGACATCTAATAACTCATTAGATATTGCTGAGAATCAAACAGAAGAGTCAAATCAAAGTGAAAATGAAGATAGAACCCAAATAAACTCACAAGAAACATCAGCAACACCAATGATCACCCAATCAGGTAGATTGTAATATTGTAAACCCTTTTTGTGATAACAAATGATCAATCAATGTCATGGGTAGATTCTACAAATTAAGTTATTAAGAACAAAGAATGGGCAATTTAGAATGCCACTGTAAAAACGGGTGTGTTTGATAGGTGTTGAATAGGGACAGACATTTTGCCTTCCAACAGGCCACCTGTTTCATAATACAAATGAAATGACGAGCGATTTCACCATTAGAGCAATGGGATGTATTTGATATCACAGAGGAATGAAGTGATTGTGTTACAAAATAATATTCTCTGGAATAAATTACAATACGTGTCTGCACAATAGTTTTATTTGTTTTAATTCTTGCCATTGTTCTTACAGTTGTGTTCTTTTTACAATGAGCATCTTGCAAAATCTTTTTTTGATGCAAATTAATAAATTGAATCTTGTAAAATAGAAATTAAATTGCGATTCCTATGGACAATTTTCATTATAGGAAAAATAAAAATTGAGGCAACAAAAATATTGGAAATATTTTTTGTACTTACAGAGACTAATACAGCTGTTGTATCAGAGAACATAGCAAGTACTGCCTTACTTCTGCCACAACATAACCAGAACCCTGTATCACAACCATGTGTTAGAACAGCAACAAGACAGCCAGCTTCTAAAATAATGCCAGCCAGTGCAGCTGAGACTTCACACCAGTCATTGCCTATTACCACATTTGAAACTGCTTTTGATACTGCAACAGGTTTGTCAACAAATTGAATGTAATTGCAAAAAGTGCATGCCATTTGTGAGGAATCTCACAAGTTGTTTAAAAATGTAAATGGAAAATTTAGATTTCTTATCAACGTGAAATGAGATCTGGTCTTTATGAATTTAAGACCTGTTAATAGCAGATTTTAGGTTGTCCTTATTATACATACCAATGATTTTACTGAGTAGCTGCAGGTTGTGACTTCACAATAATTGTACTCAACATGTTGGTCTATTTTTTTAAGTCTTTCCGTTCCATCTTTTTCTTCCAACAACTATTTCTGTCACTATATTATTAAGTAGTCACATCAACTTGAAACTTTGTACTGTACACATGTTCATTATGAAATGATATGTTTAATTTATGTATATACCAAGTCAGGATTTTGACTCAACTTTAATGGTTCACTGAACATGGAAATGTGAAATTGTAAAGTTTTGGTTTAATTCAAGTTAAAAGTTTTTGTTTGTTTGGACATTAGCTGACAAATTCATTACAACCAAATTGACCCAACAATTAACATAAATATGGATATTAATATAAAAAACTTCACAAAAAGATGACTGCCAGTGTAGTTGTCAGCTAAATTAGCCCTGCAGTTTTTGGCATTTTTTTAGTGTTTTTTGATATTTTCATGAGATAAAAGTTATACCAGTGTGTTCAGCTTTTGGAATACAACCTGGATTTCTGCTTATTTATGGACATAATTTCAATTTGTGAAAGATACAGCTTGTAGAAACTTTTTCTATAGTGAAAACATTTTTAAGTGATTGCTAGTACTATTCAGTGTATTGAAAGTGCAAACCTAAACATGCCACCACCTCTGGCCAATAAGATAAACACCAAGGATAATAAGGACAATAAGGAAATTAAGAACAAAGAAGGAAATAAAATAGTTCAGTCTTTATTAGCACCAAAGAAAGATCAACAAATAGCTAATCAAGGAAATCCACCACCCAAGCGTGACAAAAGAACTTTCTCAGGTGTGTCAGACAAGAGCCTAGAGGGTATTGATTTGATGAGTATTCATTCAGATTTAAAGGATATAAAAAAAGCCTTCAAGATACTGTTAAACAATCTGACCTGGACAATCTTGTCAAACAAAAGGACTTGAAAGATATTATGACAACTATTGTAAGTAAGCTTTTGTCTACACTGAAGGAGTCAATCACTGATGAATTTAATACCAAACTAAGGGAAAGAACTGGAAAGTTGAAAGATGAGATAGATGCTCTTAATATAGATTATAATTACTTCAAAGAGAGACTTAGAACTAAAGATAGGCAAATAGAAAAGCTTCAGGAAAAAGTGGCAGATTGCAACCTCAGGTCCATAGATGCACTTAAATCTGCAAACTATAATGAACAGTACTCAAGGAAACATAACATAAGAATGGTGAATTTTCCAGAAAAGACAAATGAGAACTTACGAAATGTTTTCGTAAAAATTGTGAAGAAAGACTTAAATGTTGAGATAGAACCATCAGATGTCATAGCAATACATCGATTCCCAGGAAAAGAAGGTAACATCAAACCTGTGATAGCAAAGGTCCGTAACACAGAAATAAAAATCAAGATAATGAGAAATAAAAAGGGGTTGAAGAATGACATTAAATTTGATAACCCAAAGAAATCTTGGACTGTTAGCTAGTCTAAACACGAAAGAGATGCTAAATAATGCCTGGTTCTATAACTGTAGTGTATATGGTAAATTGAAGGACAGTGAGCATAGAATCAAATTTGATCTATTTGACAATATAGATTTAAAATTTAAAAAAAAACTTGCAAGTATGTAAACTTTCAAGTATGTTAATATTTTCTACCTTATTAATTGTGTTTTTTTTTTTATAAATCTTTTTCATCTCACTTGCTATTTATAATAACATTGAAAAAAGAAAATATTAAACTAAGTTCTCATTTCTGTTATTTTTATTTCTCTCCCTCATTTAACACCTAATTATCAGAATGAAAAATATGTTTTTTATCATATGAAGTCAATCTGTGAAAAGTATCTGATGTGTATTGAATATTGTTTCAAGCGCCATCTTTTGTGTGTATTTGTGATGTATAAATGTGCTGTTAGTATGGGTATGCATTTTTATTTTCAGCATTGTACAACTGCTTTGCTTTTTTATTGTCTGATTGAACTTATCTATGAATGTAAGGGGCATATTTTCGAGCAAGAAAAAAAGATTAGATATTTTTGATTGGGTAAGAGGTAAACATGCATCTATTGTTTGTTTTCAAGAGACCCACAGTAATGAGGATATCGAGAAAATTTGGCAAGTCGAATGGGGTAATACATGCATTTTCAGTCACTGAAACAATAAAAGTGCTGGTGTTAGTGTGATGTTTAACAAGGGTCTTGATTTTAAGATTCATGATTCTAAGATAGACCAGAAAGGTCGTTTTATTGTTTTAGACTTATCATTATATGAACAAAGGCTTACCTTTGTCACTGTTTATGGATTTAATACAGATGAACCATCATTGTTTAGCGATATTTTACACAACATCACTTGCTATACTAATACTAGCATCTTAATGTGTGGTGACTGGAATGTTGTACAAGATTTTCAAATGGACACTTCTAATATTCTGCACAATAGAAATTTGAACTCTCGTAATAAAATTGAAGAAATTTCGCATACTTTTGAACTTTTGGATCCATGGAGAACCTGTCATCAAGACGACAAAAAATTTACATGGCGTCAAACCTCTCCTATCAAGCAGAGTCGAATAGATTATTTTTTATTAAGTGAAGACTTATTTATGAAAAATACAAAAATTATACCTGAATACAAAACCGATCATTCAGCCATTGTTTTTACATTTTCTGCAAGTCTTGATAAAAGGGGTAAGGGAAACTGGAAGTTTAATTCACAGTTGTTAAGAGATACTGTATATGTTGAAAAGGTAAAGAAGTGTATTAAGGATACTCTTTCTGAGTTCTATCTTTCAGACAGTAACGATGACTCTTTTCATGTACAATTTACTTGTAATGATCATTTTTTTCTTGAAGTACTGAAGATGAAAATCCGATCCTTGTCCATTACACACAGTATATCTAAATCAAAGGATTTCACGAATGTGACCTACCGAATTAGACTATTTACCGGATTTGTAATAACGTAAGCAACACGACGGGTGCCACATGTGGAGCAGGATCTGCTTACCCTTCCGGAGCACCTGAGATCACCCCCAGTTTTTGGTCGGGTTCGTGTCGCTTAGTCTTTAGTTTTCTATGTTGTGTCATCTGTACTATTATTTGTCTGTTTGTCTTTTTATTTTTGGCCATGGCGTTGTCAGTTTGTTTTCGATCTATGAGTTTGACTGTCCCTCTGGTATCTTTCATCCCTCTTTCAAAAGAAGAAAAAAAAACTACTCTGAAACTTGAAGAGGATATACAAAATTTAGATGTCATTATGAATACAGCCTCTACTGAAGCTGTACAGACCACTTTAAATGATAAAAATGTGGAGTTAGAATCCATGAGAGAGCAGAAGATAGAGGGTTTACTTTTACGGTCCCGGGCAAACTAGCATGAAAACGGTGAAAAATGTTCCCAATATTTTTGTAAATTAGAGAAGAGAAATTTTATAAAGAAAACAATGGTTGAAATGATTGGTGATCAAGGTAATCATATATCAAACCAATCCAAGATTCTCTCAGAACAACATGATTTTTATAAAAATTTGTATTCAAAGAGAAAATTGATTGTTCAAGTGAAAGCTTTTTTTCTCACAATGTTGCCCTGACACAGGAACAACATGACCTGTGTGAGGGTAACTTGACATATGAGGAATGTGCTATAGCATTGAGTAAGATGAAAAATGGAAAATCTCGAGGAAACGATGGATTTACTGTCGATTTTTTCAAATTCTTTTGGAGAGATCTTGGACCATTTGTTTATCGATCATTATTCTATGGATATGAGTCTGGTCTTTTTTTAAGATTTTTATATCAAAGTGTCATAACTTGTGTACCAAAAGAAGGAAAAGATAGGCGATATATTAGTAATTGGCGACCTATCAGCCTATTAAATACAGACATCAAAATAGCTTCTGCAGCTATAACAAACAGAGTCAAGTCTGTATTACCATATATTATCAGTGACACTCAAAAGGGATTTATCAATGGGAGGTTCATTGGGGAGAATACTAGATCATTGTACGATTTGATGCATTATCTTGAATATCACAACATGAGCGCCTTACTTTTATTGGTTGATTTTGAAAAGGCATTTGACTCTGTTGACTGGGTCTTTTTACAAAAAGCATTAAAAAGTTTTAATTTTGGTCCTTCGATGTGCAGATGGTTCGAGACTCTCTACAAAAGTGCTAAAAGTTATGTAATCAACAATGGCCATTTGTCAGATTTCTTCAATCTTGATAGAGGTTGCCGACAAGGGGACACACTCTCCTCTTATTTGTTTGTTATTGGTGTAGAGTTATTATCTTTGAAACTGAAGTCCAACCCCAATATTCATAGTATCCTAATCAATGAAAAACAAACACTATTAAGTCGGTATGTAGATGATACTTTTCTTACTTTAGATGGTAGTGAGACATCACTACAAGTAAGCCTCAATTGTTTTGATTCTTTTTACATGTTATCTGGATTAAAAATGAACAAATCAAAGACAAGAGCTGTTTGGATTGGTAATAAAAAATATTCGGATCACATATTGTGTCTAATTACAATCTTGTGTGGTCACACACAAACTTTGGACTTTTAGGAATAGATCTCATAAACAATTTATGATTATTGCTTAAAACTTTACACACTTCTTAGTTATATTAATCTTAAGATCTGTATACTTTTTGGTGATGATTCAAAATTTTATTTTAGAGATATTGAGTATTTTGTTAAAAAAGGCGGAGGGGTTTTTCACATGTCGCGCCGTATCTCAAAAACAGTTTATGATTATTGCTTAAAACTTTACACACTTCTTAGTTATATTAATCTAAAGATCTGTATACTTTTTGGTTT